GACATCGGACGATGGCCGGTCCGGTCATCACAACAGATGGTCAAATACCGGGTCAACAGGGGTTCCAGTTCGCTTAGGAATATGGGTGGGCCGTTCGTTGCGTCGGTTAGAAGTGCGACCGGGCCCCAGGGTGAAGGTCACAGCGGCACTGTCAACCGATTTTGCACAAAGAGTTTTCTCGAGAGAACACTTTCCAATGGGGAAATAGTCTCAAGAAGTTGGTTGTGCTACTCTCTTTCAACCTGCCACGTGTACTGTTTTGCTTGCAAGCTTTCAAATAGCACTGGTAACTTGGCAACAGTCGGATACGGAGATTGGAAGCATGCCAGAAGCAATCTAGAGCAACACGAGAGATCCACATCACACTGCTGGAATGTTACTCAACTGGCGAAACGAGCTTCTGCATCCTGTCGTATCGATGAAACTATGATCAGACATGCCAACGAAGTTGAATCGTACTGGTGCCAAGTTTCGAAACGATGTGTGAGCGTGATCAGCTTCCTGGCTGAGCGCGTTCTTGCATTTCGCGGAACCGATGAAATCGTGAGTTCGCGTAACAATGGAAATTACCTTGGTCTTATGGAACTGTTGGCGCAATACGATTCTTTCTTAGCTCAGCACATCCAACAGCATGCCAATAAAGGTACTGGACACACAAATTACTTGTTCTCAACCACATGCGAGGAGCTTATTGCGATCATGGAGACGCATGTTCTAGATAACATTGTAGGTCGAGTCAAAGAGGCAAAGTACTTTTCAGTCACGGTTGACTCGACTCCGGATGCCAGTCCCGTTGACCAGCTAACATGTGTGCTACGCTACATGAAAAATGAGACACCAGTTGAGCCTTTCGTGCACTTCTTCGATAACGCTGGACACACTGGGCAAGATCAGGCGAATTCTCTGATGAGATTCATCGAGGCTAACGGCATCGATATTGCTAACTGTAGGGGTCAGTCGTACGACAACGCTGCTAATATGAGTGGGAAATACCGCAGAATGCAAGCAATCATTCAGCAGATAAATCCTCTAGCAGTGTATGTTCCATGTACCGCACATTCACTAAACTTGGTGGGGCAAGCCGCGGTCAGCAGTTGTCGCCCCGTGGTTTCATACTTCGGATTCGTGCAGGAGTTGTACAACTTCTTCACGAGCTCAACATCACGGTTCGATATTTCGATGGATAGAATAAACCCGAAAGGATTACGCGTCCCGAAGAGCTTGAGTGACACGCGTTGGTCAGCTCATGCAGGCGCAACAAAACCTCTGAGAGAAGGTTACACAGAAATTCTAGATGTCCTTGACGGAATCTCCGAAGACGAGAATCAAAAAGGTGACAGGAGAAATACGGCTTCTTCCCTCTATGGGGTAATGAATAAAATAGAGACAGGCTTCTATACTGTGTTCTGGGACAGCATTCTCGACCGTTTCAACCGCACAAGTAAAAGCCTCCAAGGCAACAACACCGATCTCAACACTGCTGTAGCACTCCTGAAATCGCTCTCAACATTCGTGCATGGGTTACGTGATCGCTTCGAGGATTTTGTCGTGGAAGGAGCGATTCGCGCTGGCTGCAACGACTTTTCTCGCAAGTCGCGCTGAAGAAAACGCAATGTTCGTTTGGAATCTCTGGGGAATTGAGGCTGAATTGAGTCCAAGGAATGAATTCCGCGCTGCTGGATTCGTCGCAGTCCTAGACGTGCTACAAAGTGAACTCGATAAACGCTCAGACGCGTATGCTGAGATGAGTGAAAGGTTTGGATTCTTGCGGAAACTGCCAGTCATGAACGAGGATGAAATCCGATCGTCAGCTTCGAATTTGATCAGGATATACGAGTCCGATCTCGGGGAGAGTCTATGTGACGAATTGATTCAATTCGTTGAATTCATGAAGGCCATCAACAGCGAGAACTTCACTGAAGCCGACATGTATATGGCGATCATCGAAAATGGTTTGAAGGACACTTTCCCTAATACCGAAATTGCTCTGAGAATCTATCTTTCATTGATGGTCTTGAATTGTAGAGGTGAAAGGTCATTTTCAAAACTTAAGTTGATTAAAAATCACATGAGAACCACGATGAGCCAACAGAGACTGCATGGTAAACCTCAGTATTCTACTCTCTGAATTTGCAAGCATGAAAGTGCGGAAAAAATACAGACTATAGGGCCCCCAGACAATTGCGTGCCCCGGACCCCCCACACGCTTAGTCCGGCAATGGGTATGATCAGTCAAATAAATTAGCATAACAAAACTTAAAGGGATCGTTTACTTTAGGTTCTAGGGTTATTTTCAGTTAATTTAGGTTAAAATTACGCTACATAAAAAGTTTCATGGTTCAATCACCATTAGAAATATTATTAAAAAATGTTTTAAAACTAACGACTACAGTTTGATTACAACGACGGTGGCGCCACTCAACGCGCACGATTTGATAAGTTGCGCAAAACCACTTTCCAGCCAAGGGCTACAGACCGAGGGTGTTTCTTATTTATTCATTTAAAACCAAAAGGATTGTAATATCTTATAAACGACATATAGTTTCAGTTATAATATGGATAAATTGGCCCTAAAATGAATATCGTTCGGTTAAATAGCATTTAGGTATAAATATAATTGCACTTTTGTAATTAGCCCTCGGTCTATAACGTGCAAAATAAATTGTCAAATACGCAACTTTTTCGGGGTGGCAGGCACGGCATCGCGGAGTCATGACGATTTTTGGCGCCGTTCAAATTTCGTAGGCGCTTGATGTGTAATAATTATTAGCATTAAATTGGTATCTGGTAACAAATAGCGTGTGGGTATAAACCGATTTGTTAATACAGGTAATGTAGCCTACAGTGTAATGCCAGTAAACATAGAGGCTATACAGCCCCCCGGTTTGTATTTTCAACGAACAATAGACTCAAGAGCATCAAAAATAATAGTAATCTTATTACAGTGATTTAACACTGGAAGAGTTGTAAACACACTTCTGCGACAACAATATATACGTTATATAATTTTATATGGTATTCATTTATTTCATATTTTACTAACTATATTTTATGTGTCAGTGTGCAGCATCTAAGCGCTCGGGCGGCCAGCGGCTGCCTGGTGCTTGCATGATAATCTTTAGGACGGCATTACACGGGATAATGTTGTATAGGTTCAATTTATTATTATGGCTGTAAACGAGAGTAAGAGAGAACATTTTATGACGGACTTTTGGTAGTCAAAATACGATTGTCGTCGTACATCTTTATTTAGCATTATAGTGTCTTATTGAGATTGTATCGCCCTTCAAGTGCCTGTCAGTCGTTCTTGTGCGGCTAGCAACGGTAGCGCCCGTTCTGTGGGTCTGCGGTGCGACGGCAGCGTTTTGCCGCTCATATCGTCTGCTTGTATCCCGCGCGCACCCCCGCTGACGCACACCTCCTTACGTCGCACGGAGCCTGAGCTCCGCAGCGCCTTTCGACGCAGGCTGCACAAAATCAGGTAAAATAGGACCGGTCGCTATGCCGACAGCTTAGGATCGCACGCACGCCGCGTCCGCGCTCAAGATATCGCTTCAACAAAACACTCTCGTAAGAGATGTGTGCGTGCGTGCGTGCGTGTGGTGTGTGTGTGTGTGCGTACGTGTGTGTGTGCGTGTATTCGTGTGTGTATGTGCGTGCGTGCGTGTGTGTGCATGTATTCGTGCGTGCGTGCGTGCGTGAATCGTCTTGCGTTAGTTAGAGCGCGGTATCTACCAGCGCGACTGTTTCTGTTACGGCTTTGCGTAATCCGGTCTGTCTGGGCCGCCGCTGCCGCTGCCGCTGCTCCTGCTGCCGCTGCCGCCGCTGCTGCTGCTACTGCTACTGCTGCTGCTCCTGCTGCTGCTACTGCTGCTGCTCCTGCTGCTACTGCTGCTGCCGCTGCCGCCGCTGCCACCGCTACTGCCGCTACTACTGCTGCCGCTACTGCCGCTATACTGCTGCCGCTACTGCTGCTGCCGCCGCTACTGCTCTTGCTGCCGCTACTGCCGCTGCTGCTGCTACTGCTATTGCTGCCGCTGCTGCCGCTGCTGCCGCTACGGCCGCTACTGCCGCTGCCGTCGGTGCGTGCGAGAGGTTGTTACGTATTACGCGCCGTTAAATCCAAGTCCGAAATACGGCGTTATTCCGCCTAAATCTGAAAACAAACAGCCGATAATGCGCTCCGGCTATAGCACTCCATATATAGATTACCAACTGCCAGACAAATCCGTATTTAGCCGAAATCTGTCGTGGCGCGAAATGGAAGGAAACGGATTTGTCTTATCGGTTCTGTATGCGCGACGTTGCGGTGTGCGTTTACATATTTGTTATAATGTTTTGCGGGTTTACTGCTTTGTATATATGCGTACCTGGTTTATCCTTACCCTGTCGATCAAAGATGGTCAAGATGCGGACATCGACAGGGCAAAAGTTCCTCCTTCCACCCTTCGTGCTTGTTTAGTGCTTACAGCGGTCACGCTCTGTGTGACATGCAAAGACTCCAGCGTAAACACATTATATTTTATTATTGTATTATAGTAAGAAGAACATTTCTCATAGTCAATAGTGAAGTTGGAATATATAGGCCTATACTAGTATATACTGAAGAACGCTTATAATTCATACTGACGTATATACCGAAATATATTTGAGTGTCCACGGATTCGTGATAATCAAAGAAATTCATACAGACATCTATAGTATATTAGCCTAACTAGTATATTATTTATATTATTTCTTTTATTTCTATTATTTCTGTGGTGATAATAAGCATACTAGATATAGCAGCGTGGGATCTTCGTTCCAACGGGGCAGGATAATAGGTCATTGTTGAACAATGCTGCAATCGAAATATGGTCAAACAGCGGGGAACAATACGCGGACAGAAGCGCTGTCTCGTTTGAACGGACGACAGATTTCGGCTAAATACTACTTTGGCGAATAGATCCGCAGCGGTTTCGTTGATCCGGCCGACGCATGTATGACAACGATTAGCGGACTACGTTCTACAGCCGACGTCATTGTCGTCGTCAGCGCCGCTTCAGCACACAGCACAGATAATCAAACAAAAACATTTTACAATCGTAAAAACACGCCTGTAATTTACTCTCGTGGTGGTGTACATATATATATATGTTCTCATTCACGTACTTATGACCTCGTTGCGAACGATTGCGATTGCCGCGAGTCTTTTGTGACATTTTATCGCAGCTTTTGGAATTGTAAATCGACGCGAAAGCGTTTAGAACGGTCCGTAGAAATTACATCGCTTATATTGTTACGCTACAATCATGGCGATAGGTGCGTCGTTGGCATGTGGCGCATGCGTGCGTGCGTGCGTGCGTGTGTGCTTGCGTGCGTGCAGACTAACATAGCAATAGCGCTGCGATCAAAACGCGTCAGATTTCGCAGACGTTTATTGGAAAGCCAAGAGGTTCAGTATTCTGAAATTGTACGCCTGCCTGCATGCCTGCATATCTGTCTGCCTTCTTGCCTGCCTGCCTGCCTCCCTCCCCGTCTGTTTCATTGCTTGCCTATACCTGCATGCATTCATTCCTGCCTGCCTGCCTGCCTGCCTGCCTGCCTGCCTGCATGCCTGCCTGCCTGCATGCCTGCATATCTGTCTGCCTTCTTGCCTGCCTGCCTGCCTCCCTCCCCATCTGTCTCATTGCCTGCCTATACCTGCATGCATTTATTCTTGCCTGCCTGCCTGCATGCCTGCCTGCCTGCCTGCCTGCCTGCCTGCCTGCCTGCATGCATGCCTGCGGTCGCATGCTATCGTCTAGTTACCTGGACGGATGATTACCTACAATTAGAGCGTATATGTACGGCAGGACTAATGCACACGGGGAAGTATCGGGGAGGAGCAGCCGCATATACATCTACACAATATATCTACAGACGTATATATATATTTATTTATTTATTTATATATATATGTGCGTTTAATAGCTATAATGCTAAAAGCCTGAATGTCATAGAGAGTCGCGTCTCCCGCTGCGCGGTGTCAGTGTCAGATGACAGATGTAAGGTGTAAGGTGACAGATTGCCAATATTAACCCGCGACTGTATATTACGAGGTTAAGGAGATGTCAGCAGGAGGAGGAGGAGGAGGAGGAGGAGGAGGAGGAGGAGGAGGAAGAGGGGGAGAAGGAGGAGGAGGATGAAGAGGGGGAGGAGGAGGAGGGGGAGAAGGAGGAGGAGGAGGAGGAGGAGAGGAGGAGGAGGAGGAGAGAAGCAGCAGCAGGGAGGAGGAAGAGAGGAGGAGGAGGAGGAGGAGGAGGAGGTGGAGAGGAGGAGGAGGAGGAGGAGGAGGAGGAGGATGCAGGAGTCGGCATATAATGTCAGTCATGTCCGCAGCCTTCCGCAGAGGCGTATCGACCGCTAACACTTCTGTCTACGCATTGTCAATGACAACGAGCAGGTATATCGCTCAGGTGGATCAATTCAGCGAGCATAGATGAGAGCGAAGCGGAGAAATGCGAGTAAATGAACTCTTTCTCCTCTCTCTCTCTCTCTCTCTCTCTCTCTCTCTCTCTCTCTCTCTCTCTCTCTCTCTCTCTTTCTCTCGCCTGCTCTTACCCTTATCTCTATCGCTCGCT